GTAGTGTGTGTGTGTGTGTAACAGTGTGAGTAACAGCATACATAGCTTGTGTAGCAGTATGTTAACATAAAAATGGAATATGGCTGGAAGAAAATGGTGGCTGCACTTAATATTGCAACCTGGTTATGCATATTTATAAAAAAAAATCCAAAAACTAAGAATATGTAGCTACTATTCACAAGAAGCATTTGATGGAAAAAATACACACAGATAAAGTAATTTTGGGGATCTAGATGTAGTAGGCAGCAAAACAGCCAAACCAAGGGTCTGTCTTGTGGGCCTGTTAAGGATGACTTCTACCTTTAAATCTCAGGATGGAAATGAACAAAAAAGATAAAATCCAATGGTGTAGTATTTTCAAGTGGCAAATTATTTCTTAAGTAAATAAATGCACTTACCTCTTTCAGAGCTGTAATTCATCTCTGATAAATGCACCTTGGCAGTATAATCCCCCCTTTTCTCCGTGGAACATAGAATAAGAACAATATACAGTATAGTATGTAATTAGTAGTGAGTTGTGTTAATAAAATAAAAAGCATGTACTCTCATGCTATAAAGCCTATGTATAATCCCCACTCTAGGATATTGTGCAGGCAGTTCCTATCAGCGTGTAATGTAAAACAAAAATAGGATATATAGTGCTCACTGTTGCAATGGATGAAAGAAAAATAAAGATAACTACTACTTACAGATTGAAAATCCAATTGTTACTGCCTCATTCACAAGGCATACAGTGCCCTCCACTAATATTGGCACCCTTGTGACTATGAGCAAAAAAGACTGTAACAAATTGTCTTTATTATTAACCTTTTGATCTTTTGTTAAAAATGTAGACACAAAAAATACTCTGTTCTTATGGATATTAAACAATTGCAAACACAACACAGTTTAACCCCTTAAGGACACATGACATGTGTGACATGTCATGATTCCCTTTTATTCCAGAAGTTTGGTCCTTAAGGGGTTAAAAAGAAAACAAATCTGAATTTGGCTGAATCTGAGCAGACAATATAGCCATATACACTTCATAATTCTGTCTTCTGTCACAGTTATCCAGTCGCATTGGAAGCCTTTTATACCCATGTCAGCACACTGACTTTACTGTGTTTTAAATGATGTGGCATGCTTCAAATCATGAGTCTTTCCAAGCGTTCTCCATACTTTTTTTTCTTCCCATCATTCTGTTACAGGTTGATCTTACTTTCATCTGTCCAAAGAATGCTGTTCCAGAAAAGTGTAGTTCTTAATAGATAAAATTGAATTTCTAGCTGGGGCCTATTTGGCAAGTTTTTGTGTGTTTAATCAACAGGATATAAGTTTTTGTTAAATCATGAATTTTAAGGCATTTGTTGGTATCACAGTACTTAGTGACTGTGAATTACTTAGATCTAGGAAACCCATAAAAGGCCAAATAAATAGCAGCATTAAAGAAAACATTTGTATATTGTTCAAAGGGAGTGGTGTTTAGTAGATCTGAGATTGCTCTGAATTTTGGACCATCAATAGGAAGTTGTTTTGGAGCTTCACATGGACATTACATTTTTATTATAATTTGGAAAATTGACAAATATTAAACAAATAATAAACATCTGGGTTCAACATCATCTTTCAAGTCACAAAACAAACCAAAAATGGTATGTCAAAATATTATACAATAAATCTCCATATATTTTGTTTCTCAATTATATATTTTTGTACATTAATATCTGGAGTTAGTATACTGAGCTCTTTATCAAAATTTAAATTGTCAAAAATAGATAATACAAAAACCATAAATAAAACCTACAACATAAAAACATAAGGTCTCTGGGGATATTTATGGGATGGTAATATTAAGCAGTCGAGAATTGCCCACTATTTCAATTCTCTTAGATCTTAGAAATCGTTATCAAATACGTGAAAAGTATTCCATACAATTAATGATCACAATGTGTTATAAAAATAGATTTATTTATTATGACCAATAATTAACAATAATATTAGGCAGCATGCATGATAATAATCAGTGAATATTTAGTACAACATAAATATGCAATACAATGGAATAGCTATACATGTTCCAAAGGCTAACAGCACTTTCTGTCACTTAAGATTTATGAGGTATTTTGCAGACACAGAAAGCAAAGCTTTTCACAGCGAAGAGCCATAAAACCTTGGCTAACAGTTAAAACAACTGAGTAACCCTTTCAATGCTGGCTAGATCCTTCTAGGCATATAGTATCCTATTCTCCTGTGATTTTCAATTGAAATAACATTTAAACCAACTCATTAGTCATTTCCTGGAACCATCCAATAAGAATAATCTACCAGATTTTTACAAAAGTCGAATTTTAATTTGTCTAAAAAGATATCTTATCTTATTTTAGAGCAAATCAATACACCTGGATAAAAACAGTGGTATGCTAACACATGATAATATCACATTAATATATAATTATTCTTAATTCCGCCTGCAGAATGGAATGTTTATAACTATATATTCTTTAGTTAACTAAGATTTCTAAATATTGAAATCTGACTGTGATTTATCCAGTCATATATCATGCTAATAGTAAATTTAAATTAATTTAAATTAATTAAATAAAACCAACATAGTTACCAGTTATGTAGATATTCTCATCAGATGAATAGGTAGTCCCAGAAACTTGATCTATGGATCGCAATTTAGGTATTTGATCCATAGAGGGCAGTCTCGTCTAACGAAACCTTCTTATCCAGGAAAGAGTTAACTTTTCCTGATGACGATTTTGACGTCATTTGGCTTATCTAAAATGACTACCATAACTTAGATTTGCTGTCTGTTCAAAGCGTTTGTCCCAATCTTTGTGGCAACTACTTTGGTCGTAACTTGTAAAATTGACAGTTCTAAACTCAGTTTCAACCCTTACTTACAATGGAACCTTGTAAAATTTAGAAAGTAAAATTACTTAGTCTTCTCTGTCACTAGTGTCTGTGTTTAGATAATGCATTCCTTAGCTCAAACAAGTGGCTAGTTACAGAAAGTAAGGAGAAATCAAGGAAATTATGTGTTTTTGTTATGCTGAAGATAGCAAAATGGAGTCCGCTTTGTTCTGAGTGACTTTGGCAATATACACTTAATTTCTTTTTAGCACAAAATGTCTGTTGATATAAATATTCTGATAGGTCAACCACCGAGATCAAGGAAATGGGTGGTGTCAATATCACTTCTTTAATATATTAGTTCATCCATTGGGTCTAGAGCCATCTTTGGAAAGCGATTTATTGTATAGGAGTGTCTATGCCAGGGTTTATTGTTTTTACTAAGACTTGAATATTCTATTCTTTATAGTAATCGAACCATTTTGTCCATATTTTATTATAAGATCCAATATTATTATCTTTGAAATAAACTGCCATTTCCATTAGTCCTTGGTATTGGATCTGGGTATTAATCTCAGTTATAGAGGGAGGTATGTTATGTTTCCACTTTCTGGCAATACATAGTTTATCAGCCATCAAGACATGTATGGTCAAGTACTGAGATGATTTATCCATTTTTGGCAAGTCTAAGCGGAAGAGAAATCTTTCTGGAGTTAGAATAATATTCAATTTTAGATCCAAAAAAAGTTTAGAGACTCCTGATTTGAATGTCCAAACCAATACAGTCCCACCAAATATGTTTAAGTGAGCCACGCTCATTACTACAATGCCAACAGACATTTCAGGAGTTTGTTTGAAATTTACATGTTTTCGTAGGGGCCATATACCATCTATGGATAAGTTTGAGATATGTTTCTGGTATATTTATACAATGGATCGTTTTCCTTAATGTTTCAAATGAATTTATTCAGTCTTGACAGGAAAAAGATGTATTTAGTTCGATTTCCCATCTAGAGATAGTGTTAAGTTTTACTTCCTGGTTTAATACCTTCAAAGATCTTCTAACTACTGCAGATTTATTATTAACCACTCCAAAGAGGATCTTTTCAAAGGGTGAGTCTTTAATTATAGTTATCTTATGGAAAACAAAATTCTTATTCTTAGATAGGTGAAATGTTCTTTATTTAGTAAACCAATTTTTTCTTGAAGATACGAAAAACTACTAATACCAGAGATACCGTATAAGTCCTGAATTTTTTCCCTATCTCTAGCAAACCATCTAGATAGATTAAAGTCCTGAATAAAAAACTTCAGGACTTTTAGAGGGGCGTTTGAAGAGATTTGATTTGGGGGAAAAAATTATAAAAATACCTAAAATGTATCCATTTACACCAGTCCAAATAGATATGAAATAGTTATTATACAAATTGATATTATATACATGTGGCGGAACCAACCTCGCCACTATGCACTGGAGAAGCCTGGTTGCCAGCCTCCATGTGACTATGGCCCCTGGGATGTATTGCCCTTTAAAGACATGATTTGGGCATAATGGATTTGTGTTGTGCTGCTGCTAGCCTTTTAAGAACCATCTGGGGACATACTGTGGAGTTACTGGGTGGCCACCATTTCCTGTATCAGAAGCACATGGTGAGAACAATGGATGGCGGCCATTTTAACTCACAGACACTGTGTGGACTTTTCAACATGGTGCCATCTCGCCAGTATTTGTTGCACAGAGACATTGTGCGGTGGTTTTGGACTATACAGCGGGGGACACATTATACAGTGATTGTTTTTTATTTAGCCTGTATATGTTCTGCAGAATCTGCATTAAACTGTATTTTCCAAAGTACTGAACGGATCTGGGTGAATTTTGGATATGTGGTTCACCCAGATCCCCCAGTTCCAAGGATATACTTTTTATGGGGTTATTGCATGTTTTGGGGTCCCTGTGATGTGTTTTATGAAACTGTATTTCTCTGGCTGTGATAATTAGATTACCCATTGTGTTCAGTAATCATATCACAGCCAGAGGGGAGGATTTTGTGTGGGAGTGTCTGGGTGTATTGTATGGATTGATTGGCTGTTTTGTAACGCCCTGTGGGCTGTACTATGTTTGTGGATTGGGAATAAAAGAGACTGTATGTGACAGTACAGGGAGTTCCTGTTTTAACCCTCAAAGTGAAGTGTCGTCTCATTATTGGGGGAAGGATTTATTGTATGCTGTTCCAGTTTGACTGCTAGGAGAGTAAACCTATTCGTATGGTTCCTATTCAACTGTCTACAGCATTTATATGCTTGGGAGAATTTATTTGTTTCTCCGGTTTGGTGATTGTGGTGTCTGCCAGAGTGCTTGGAGTCCTCAGGAAGCGCTAGGAGCATCCTTCAACGGAGGTACCCAGTCGGGGTGCCAGGTGATCCGTTACAATACAACAATACATATATTATATATGTATATACATCCAAAATACATCCAAAATAGGAAAAGAGCATTGATACTTTTACTCTATCAAAATACAAAAAATTAAACGGATATATAATATAATGACCTTATTAATCAAAAAGAAGGCAGAATAATCACTCAACGTTTTGAATCTGGTGATACATATTGTATATGTATATACATCCAAAATAGGAAAAGAGCATTGATACTTCCACTCTATCAAAATACAAAAAATTAAATGAATATATAATTACCTTATTTATCAAAAAGAAGGCAGAATAATCACTCAACGTTTTGAATCTGGTGACCTTTGTCAAGAGTAACCTTGACAAAGGATTTCAAAGTCTCCAGTCTATTGTTTATTGTGTTAATGGAAGCAACTACCAATACAATCATGACATGAAGTTCTGAGACTGCATTGTACAGCTTCATCATCACTGGGATCTGGTCTTGGAGTGTCAGATTGAGTTTTCAACAGTCGGAATAACTCTGCCTTTCTTGCTGGGGCTGGGCACGCACTGTTTGTGTTTTAATTCCAATGTGATACTTGGCATAGTAGAGGATCTAATGAAACTAAGGCTTGTTGTATCTGCTTGTCTAGCCGGTAATCTGGCTCTAGCCGGTGTATTAGGCAGAGACAATTAATCTCCGTGAGCGGATTTGCTTGGAATGCCAAGTACCTCCATAATTGAATATTTGAGATGACCTTAAGGGACCACTAAACTAAGGCAAAGAAGCCAAAGAAATTATCCTATTGCATGTCTATTGAAATATATAAGGGAAGGATGAGTTTGAGATATGTAAAATGAATAGTTAGAAGACACATACCATGATTCAAAGCATAACAAGTATGGAATATAGATGAATGCGAGAGTGTTAGGGGAACCTAAAATAATTTAGGTTCTCCGACGAACCCAAACGACTATTTCACACATTTAACTCTCTTCTTCGCCCTGCTGTTCCTCCTCCACCTACTAACTTGACCGCCTCAGACTTTGCAACTCACTTCACTGACAAGATCTCTACAATCAGAGAAGAGATCTCTCATCTTTCTTCTTTCCCTTACAATACTTCACCTAACTTCCATCCCTCTGCTGTTCTATGTTCATTCGCACCCGCTACATTGGAAGAGGTTTCTGCTCTTCTCCAGTCCTCCCGCCCCACCCGCTGCTCCCTAGATCCAATTTCCTCGCGTCTCATCCGTATTCTGTCTTCTTCTCTTTCTCCACCTCTCACTAAAATCTCAATCTCTCTCTCTCCTCTGGTATATTTCCATCGCCCTTCAAACATGCAACTGTAACCCCAACTCTAAAGAAGCCCAATCTTGACCCTAATTCCCCATTCAACTATCGTCCTATCTTGCTACTGCCTTTTGCATCCAAGATCCTTGAAAGAATTGTGTATGCAAGATTGACAGACTTCCTTGAGTCTAACTCTCTGCTAGACCCACTTCAGTCTGGTTTCTGTGCTAAGCACTCTGTGGAAACGGCACTAGTGACTAGTGTTTCTGACTGCCTCTCTGCTATTTCTAACTGGATGGCTGCCAACTTCCTTAAACTAACTTGACCAAAACTGAAATTCTGGTCTTTTCTTTCTCAAAGTGTTGTTACTCCTGTGTCTGTCTCCCTCCAAGTCAACGGTGCTACCATCAGCTCGACCATGCAGGCTAGCTGCCTAGGTGTTCTCTTTGACTCAGACCTCTCCTTCAAGCCTCATGTTCAATCTATCGCCAAATCCTGTCATTTCCATCTCAAAAACATTGCGCGCATCTGCCCCTACTTAACGCCAGATGCGACTACGGTGTTGGTCCATTCCACTGTCCTTTCTCGCCTAGACTACTGTAATCCACTTCTCAGTAGTCTTATGTGCTCCCAACTTGCGCCATTACAGTCCATAATGAATGCGGCAGCGAGGCTCATCTTCCTGTCCGCCCGCACCTCCCATGCCTCACCCTTCTGTCAGTCCCTACATTGGCTTCCTATAAAATATAGAGCTCAATTTAAAATTCTGGTTCTTGCTTTCAATTCGCTACATAATGCTGCTCCCATCTATCTATCCCCCCTTATACACAAGTATGTCCCGTCTAGGCCCTTACGATCTGCTGAAGACTTACGTCTATCTTCTGTCTGTACTTCCAACTCTGAGCTCGCCTTCAAGATTTCTCGAGGGCTGCACCGTTCCTGTGGAACTCGCTTCCCTCCTCTGTTAGATGCTCACCCAGTCCTTCAAAAAATCGTTAAAACCCCACTTCTTCATAAAAGCTTATCAATTAAACTGTTAATAGCTCCTGACTGATTCCTCTTCTACAACTGTCACTAATCTAATACTATCATTACCTTTTTGAGTCATTTTACCCCTCTTCCTCTAGCATGTAAGCTCATTGAGCAGGGCCCTCAACCCCTTTGTTCCTTTGTGTCCAACTTTCCTGGTTACAACTACATGTCTGTTCGTCCACCCATTATAAAGCACTGCGGAATTTGATGGCGCTATATAAATAACATAATAATAATAATAATAGAATATAACCATCATATATATAGTCTAGACCCACAACCTGTTTAATTAAAACATAGATAATACATAGAGTAGCTCACAAAAGTGAATACACCCCTCCCATTTTTGTAAATATTTTATTATATCTTTTTATGTGACAACACTGAAGAAATGACACTCTGCTGCAATGTAAAGTAGTAAGTGTACAGACTGTATAACAGTGTAAATTTGCTGTTCCCATTAAAATAACTCTACACACAGCCATTAATGTCTAAACCGTTGGCAACAAAAGTGAGTACACCCCTAAGTGGAAATGTCCAAATTAGGCCCAAAGTGTCAATATTTTGTGTGGCCACCATTATTTTCCAGCACTGCCTTAACCCTAATGGGCATGGAGTTCACCAGAGCTTCACAGGTTGCCACTGGAGTCCTCCTCCACTCCTCCATGATGATATCACAGAGCTGGTGGATGTTAGAGACCTTGCTCTCCCCAACCTTCCACTTGAGGATGCCCCACAGATGCTCAATGGGGTTTAAGTCTGCAGACATGCTTGGCCAATACATAACCTTTACCTTCAGCTTCTTTAGCAATGCAGTGGTCGTTTTGGAGGTGTGTTCGGGTCATTATCATGTTGGAATACTGTCCTGCGGCCCAGTCTCCGAAGAAAGGGGATCATGCTCTGCTTCAGTATGTCACAGTACATGTTGGCATTCATAGTTCCCTCAATGAACTGTAGCTCCCCAGTGCTGGCAGCACTCATGCAGGCCCAGACCATGACACTCCCACCACCATGCTTGACTGTAGGCAAGACACACTTGTCTTTGTACTCCTCACCTGGTTGCCGCCACACACGCTTGACACCATCTGAACCAAATAAGTTTATCTTGGTCTCATCGGACCACATGACATGGTTCCAGTAATCCATGTCCTTAGTCTGCTTGTCTTCAGCAAACTGTTTGCAGGCTTTCTTGTGTGTAATCTTTAGAAGAGGCTTCATTCTGGGATGACAGCCATGCAGACCAATTTGATGCAATGTGCGGCGTATGGTCTGAGCACTGACAGGTTGACCCCCCACCCCTTCATCCTCTACAGCAATGCTGGCAGCATTCATATGTCACTGAGCATGTGCACTCAACTTCTTTGGTTGACCACCGCAAGGCCTGTTCTGAGTGGAACCTGTCCTGTGAAACCACTGTATGGTCTTGCCCACCATGCTGCAGCTCAGTTTCAGGGTCTTGGCAATCTTCTTATAGCCTAGGCCATCTTCATGTAGAGCAACAATTCTTTTTTTCAGATCCTCAGAGAGTTCTTTGCCATGAGGTGCCATGTTGAACTTCCAGTGACCAGTATGAGAGAGTGTGAGAACCATAACACCAAATTTAACACACCTGCTCCCAGGGCCGGCGCATCCTATTGGCAACTTAGGCAGTCGCCTAGGGTGCACCAGCCCGGGGGGCACAAGTTTTGTGTGACCCAGCAGGAGGGAAGCGCACAGCGCTTCCTCCTACCGGGTCACTCGGTGTAACATGGCCAGGCAGCGCAAACCACGGTACAGGAGCTTCCTGTACCCGGCCGGACTGAAAGGAGTTGCTCTCTCATTGAGCACTTCCTGTCAGTCTGGCCAGGTAAAGGAAAAAGAAGCTCCAGTACCGTGGTCCGCACCACCCTGTCACTCTATACAGAGGTAGGAGGCACAACAGGGAAGGGGTGGGAGATGGCACTAAGGGACACTGGGGGGGAGGGAGAAGTGGAGAGACCACTAAGGGACACTGGGGGGGAGGACAGACCACAAAGGGAAACTGGGGTGGGGGTGGACAGACCAGTAATGGACATGGCGGGGAGAGACCACTAATGGAAAGATGGGGGTAGGAAAGATCACTAACGGAAAGACGGGTGAGGGGGGAGAACTCTAAGGGACAGGGTGAGTGAGAGCACTATGGGAAGGGCGGGGCAGGGGAAAGCACAAAGGGACAAGAGGGGAGGGGAGATCACCAACAGACAGGAGGGCAGTCCCTTGTGAGGGAGACACACACAGAGGGACCTGGGTGGAAAAAGAGACACACCAAGGAGCTGGAAAGAGTAAGACAGAAAGGGGCTTGGTGGAGTAACACACACAAATTGGTTGGGAGAATGTAGGAGACATAGAAAGAGGGGGGGCTAAGCGACAAATAAGGGGTTTGTAAGACACAAACCTTAAAGAAAAAAAAATATACAAAAAAAATTATATTAACAAAACAAACATAATGAAAATAAAGAGCTGCTCCTTTCTCAGCCCCTATCCTACCCCAGAAACCCTCTCTTTCCCACTACACACATACACAATGCATCCTTACTCATGCACATAAACACACATGCACAGAATGCATCCCTACTCACACACAGTGAAACATACAATGCACCCTACACTCACACAGAAACACACAATGCATCCATTACACA